CCCTTGCCCTTCCCTTTGTCTCCAAAGCCTCCCTTGCCAAACCCGCCTTCTCCTCCCATGTGCAAGAAGCCTTAGCCAGTACAACATCGATGCTTGCCGGCAACCCTCACGCGTGGACTGCAAGTAGATTGCTCAGGCCCGTGCTTCTCGGGGCAGCCGGAGGAAGTTTGGCCCAATATCTGCAACTACCGGAGCCTTCAAAAGGAACAGCGGCACACTCAAGCCATCTGCAAAGTTCTTCTGATACAGCGATGCACGGTGACAGCATAAAACCTTGTCAAGCTGTCCGAAAACCGCAGGCTTGAACCAACTTTGTCCGCTTCGCAGCGTTGATGAACGTGGCGAGCTCTGTAAATGCTCCCTCGGTTTACGATCGGAGCCGTCCTCGCGCTAATTTTGCGAAAGTGTGTGAGAACTGATCTCAACAGCGGCAAAACCTGTATTAGTCCAAAAGCAGCAGAATCATCAAAGCAGCTCACAGCCTCAGAGCTTGAATTCTTCTCCGACCGCCTTCTCCGAAGCTTCCCAGAGCGCCTTGGCCGCTGCCTCGTCGTAGGCCAAAGGGTTCTCGTTCTTCGTCTTGATCGGAGAGCCAGTTCGACCCTCGGAGGGTCCATAGTAGGCCCCACCCTCACAGAGAGTTGGATGTGCGACGGCCATGACCAGGGGAAGGGACCCGTCCGCACAGGACTGGCCGCCCTTCTGGTAGCCGGCGCCATCCTTCATGCCCCCACCCTTCTGCGTGGTGATTTGCAGGTTGGTGGCGGCAAGTCCCGGGTGGCAAGATGTGGACTTCATCTTGTCACTGAGGCCGGCGTCCTTCAACCGCCTCTGCAGCTCGTTGGCGAAGAGCACGTTGGCCAGCTTGCTCTGACCGTACCGGGCCCAATGGCCTGTGCTGCCACCGAGGACGTAGGGAGCCAAGTACAGCAGCAGACCGTGAGGCGGGTGAGGGTTGTTCAGGTTGCTAGCATCCACGGTCGGCTTTCCCTTCTCAGATGCACCGGAGGAGACCTGCGTCAGGGTCACGTCCCCATGCTTCTCCGCGGTGGACTTCAGGAGGGGCCAGAGTCGAAGAGTCATCAGAAAGTGGCTGAGGTGATTCGTCTGGATCTGGATGTCGAAGCCGTCCTTTGTCATCTGGACGTCCAGGCCCATAACACCGGCGTTGTTGCAGACGATGTCCAAGCGATCGTACTGCTTTTTGAACTCATCGGCAAAGCTTCGGATGCTCTCGAAGTCACAGTTGTCCATCTTCATGACCGCGATTGGTTTCGAGTCGATGCCCTCCTCCTTCAGCTTCGCTTCCAAGTCGGCCTTCACGACATTGCCCTTCTCGACGTTTCTTACGGTGATGACGCACTGGGCCCCCTTGGAGGCCAGGGCCTTCGTGGCATAGAAACCCAGGCCAGAGGAGGTGGAGACCCCTGTGATCAGCGCCACTTTCCCCGACAAATCCTTGATATTCTCAGGATTCTTGATCCACTCAGGGTAGTACTTGTCCTCAAGCTGTGTCGGGCCGGAGACGTCTGCGCTCTGCGAGGAACTGGAGCCCATGGCGTCTGACAGTCAATGACTTCTCAAGCAGAAGTACTGGACACGTGCTGCGAAAAGGCTGCGGTAAAACAAAGCCAGGTGCTTCCAGATGCAGGCAGTTTCCGCAGAGTCTGCGCTGTTCTGACCCACTCTTTCCAGACCGCAGCTCAGTCGTCTTCGAGCGGGTATCCTGGGACAAAGCTGCCACGGGCGAACGGTTGCTTGAGAAGCGTCTGAGGCATGGCAAGCTGCGGCAAAGCGGCCGACGTCGGTGCCACTTCTTCGGCAAGATGTGCCGGGCGGCGGCAGAGATTCTGCCACGTCTCGCAGTCGCGTGACGGCGTCGGTCAACGCCTGCAGATAAGAACGACTGACGGGCCCAGGCCTAGGCACCGGAATCTGTCGTTTATGGAAGGAGTCTGCCTGGCCTGGAGCTTCTCCAGAGACTCGAGGAGCGCATCAGACATGCACTCCAAGTCGTCGCCGACCGTGAAGCCAACCCTGGCAGACATCCCAAGACGACTCGACTCTGCGAGAGATGCCTCCGAAGGGGCCGGCAGCACCGCTCCAGAAGATCGGCATACCGCCCGCAGTTCTCACCGAGAATGTGGACGCACTGCTGCAGAACCTGCCGCCGAACGACCAGGCAAGATCGTAACCTTGTGAAACTTGTTGCTGCCAGAAAACAATGCATCCGCCATGTGCCTGGTGCCCTTTACGGCTGAACAATGACCCTCAATGTTAACTCGGACTCCAGCATGTCCAGCAGGCGAAAAACCCTGAATGTTCAACGGTTCAACGAATCAGCTCCAATTGCAGAGCGTCGGCAGTATCCTAGGCTTGAAACTGTCATTTCGACACCGGCCCTGAAGCAATGCAGCCCCGAATCCCAAACCCTGAACCCCCGCCCAATTTTGGAGGCGCCTTACCTGAAAAACCAGTGGACCCTAAACCCTAAACCCTAAATCTGTAGACCCTAAACCCTAAACCCNNCCCCCCCCCCCCCCCCCCGGGCCCACCGTGATCTCCACGGCGGCTGCGGTCCGCGCCTCGGGCGATGCCCGGGCCTGGGCAGCCTGGCTTCCATGAACTCTCTGGGTTCAAGGTTTTGTTTTGAGGGTTTAGGGTTTAGGGTTTATTTAGGGTTTAGGGTCTTTTGGGTGGAAGGGTTGAGGGTTTCGGGTTTATTTAGATTTAGGGTTTAGGGTTTAGGGTTTATTTAGGGTTTAGGGTTTAG